ACCCACAAAACTCTTCTTGATTCCTTTGAGCTCTGGAAATATGAAATGCTGCTGCCTCTTCTCCTCCTCATTTTATATAATAAATTTATTGTAATTAAGTATAAACTTTAAATAGTGAGAGAGGCTCCTTTGATGGTTTTATCTTTATGATACTCCTGGTATCATGAAGAAGCTCGACTGTGGTATAAAATAAGCCTCTGTTGCAATCCTAGATTTGACCTGCCACTTAATGCTATGAGATCATGGATAGGACACTCAGCCCTCCCTAAATTTCACTCTCTTTTTGTAACATAGAGAAATATCAATCTCCTAAAGCTGTGTAGGGAATTAATAAAAGACCATACTGAGGGCCAGGAGAAGTGGCTCATGCCTATAATCCCAGCATTTTGGGAGGCCAAGGCAGGTGGGTCACAGGTCAGGAGTTTGAGACCAGCCTAGCTAATATGGTGAAACCCTGTACCTATTAAAAATACAAGAAAAGTAGCCAGGCATGGTGGTGCATGCCTGTAATCCTAGCTACTCAGGAGGAGCTGAGGCAGGAGAATTGCTTGAACCTGGCAGGTGGAGGTTGCAGTGAGCCAAGATCACGCCACTGCACTCCAGCCTGGGCGACAGAGCTCGACTTCATTTCAAAAAAATAAATTAAAAAAAAAAGATTATATAACAATATTTGAGTGCAGTAAATGTTCTATAAAGGGCAGCTATTAATAAAGAAAATGACAGTAACAATTTGTCTAGAATTAGGCAAGTTAGAATAGATATCAGACATGTGCCTATGTACACTTTGTGCTCCTGAAATGTGTATATGCCTCCTGAAGTCCCACAGCAACGTCTGTAAGAAAACAGGCTGCTTTCTGATCTCAAAATTTTATTTGAAAGAAAAACATGAGGCTCACTTAGAAAAGGTGGAGGACTTTTACAGAGCTACTCAGCTTATGGTGGTATGTCTGAGACTAGAGCTCAGGTCCTCTCTCTGGCCCACTTCCATAAATCAGCAATTTCTCTAGGGTCATAGATCTCCTAGCTATACACTGTGAACACTCACTCAAAGTGGGAGAAACAAAGACCACAAATAGCCTCTAGTTAGTTACAGTCTGTGATTTGTTACCAAATGATTATGAAAAAATTTAAATGGTCACTGTTCTTTAGATTTAGAGTTGTGAATAAGGTACTGAGAATTTGTAACAGGAATGTGTGGTATTCCTCAAGTGTGTGGGAATAGAAAACATTAAAAATTCCATTTTATACCATACCACCTCCTGCATTTTATTATTTAAAAATTTTGCCTCCTAAAGGATTAAAGAGAAATCAGAATCTATGTGGCCTAGACTGAAATTAGAGAAGACTAGCACAACAAATCTCTCAGGCTTGAATTCCTTGGGTCACTCTCCCCACTTGTTAATGGGCTGGCCCAACCTTTTCTTATTCAGCAGAATGGTCTCCCTAAGAGATCTTCTTAGCTCTATCTATGAAGAGGTCAGCTGATGAACAGGATTGCTATTGGTTTTCTTCCAACCCCCTCCCCCTTTCTCACAAAAAACTATTAAAAGCACAAATCCTGATCTCAGAGTTGGATCCATTTTTAGATGCTAAAATAAAGAAAATTAGGGGTTCTTGGATTGGGTATGTTTTATCATGTTCAAATTGCAAGGGTGCTGCAGCTCTTATATAGGAATATCTTGGCTATATTTAATCACAGGAAAGCTTCCCAGGGAGACTCAGGTTAGCTTCTTTTGTACAATGACAGTACACAAAAGGTTTCACTTGGAGTAACAGACAAAATTATTCCTTCAATACACTTTTGCCGAGTCCATATCTGAGATGCAAATAACATTGCCCTTCTAGTCCAAGTTATGGATTTTGTACGAGAGATTCTTATAATTTCCTCTATCAATCACTTCCTCTTCAGTTCCTCCCTTCCTTCTTTGAGAACCTGCCCACAGACTTTGTAACAATCAGTGCCCACAGTCCCTGCTCAGTGAGGATGTCAGCCTCCTCCTTGACCTCAGACAATTAGATTACCAGTCATTACTTGAACTCAGCCAATCACCATCTGTCTCTCTCCTGGGATAAGAATTGGGCCTTCTGAGATGCTACTGAGTGTCTGATGAGCATTTAAAGAGAAAAGTCAAGTCAGCAACAGGAACATTGTGTTTGGCTCTTGTGCCAAGGATCCAGAAATAATTGATTAGGAAATAGAGATAGAAGGAGAATACAGAATAATGACCACATGCAGAGGGAAGCAGAGATCAGAAACCAATTCATTTGAGAGAAACTGAGAGTGAAGCCTCAATTTTGCTTTCTATTGCTGTTTTCAGTATTGTGTGGACAGTCATTGCATTCTCTACCCTTTCAATCCATTATATGTGCTGTACCTTGATAAATACAACTCTCTCTTTTTTCCTGTTTGTGTGTGTATATGTATATATGTGTAATTGAATGGATTTTTTTTTCTTTTCAACCAAGGATCTCAAGACAGTTTTGCATCACAATCTCACTTGTGATGATCAGTAACATTTTCAAAATGGCAGCTTGGTTTTTAGAGTAGAGCTCATGCTCCTGGGACTAGAACCAAAAAGTAGATCACCTATGTTCTAGTGTCTTAGCATCACACTCATTGATTTGTCTGTTGCTGATGCTTCAACACGTACATGTGCTTTTGCTGTTTGCATTCTTCGCATCAGGCTAAAATAGATTCTATAATTGATATCCCTCCCAGAAAGTGTGACTTTCCATCTGGGATGGATTTTCAAAAATTCTTACTGGGAGCCCATAGAGTTGGAAGGACTCCAAGATTCTTCATCATACCATTGGTCAGGCTCTCTGGTTTCCTTCTCTGAAAGGTGTGAATGTGACCTTTCCATTGGCCACCAAGGTTGCCATATTCAGCTACTTGCAACTGAGACACAAAGGGCTTTGAGGGAGAACAGCCCACAGACTTCTATTTGAGGAATGCCAAATGGTTCTCTAGGGCCCAGCTGGTACTGCTATCTCTTGCACAGTGCCTGAAATGTGCACAGCTATTTTTGGTGAGTTATAATATTATTGCTCACAAGTCTAATATTAAAGCAAAATTAACAATGCCCTTGGGGAAGGCAGGAGACTCTCGAAATTGCTTGGTTGTGTGATTCACGAAAATAAAAATCTTCGTGCTTCAGTTTCCTCATCTATGAGATGGTAATAATAATACCTGTCTAAGAAGATTGTCATGGGTATCAAATGAGCTACTATTTGGGACTCCCTACAACATAGTATGAGCCCTGTGTTTGTTAAAAAAAAAATATATATATATATTTTCTGTCATTCAACCTGAAACAGCTCAAAGCAAGAAGCCTTTGAAAACTGGACATACAACAAATTTTCTTTAATTCCTTTTTCTTCTTTTGTCAGATAAGTGAATTTGAATGTTTTTGTTAAACACATCTGCCTCCTGTTAAAACAATGAGAGGATAAAGTCTGGGGCTTTCTTTTACGTGATCTGTAAGCTCTTGGATTTAGAATGTCTGAGGTTGGGAAGTAGGGAGGGCCAAGGTGTTGGGTTCTGGTGGATCTGGAAAACCACAGGATGAGGCAACACTTCACCAGAGCAAGGCCGAAGGTTTCTCTCCAGAAAGGATTTTCTTAACATAGGTTATGCGGCATACAATGTTGGACTGGGAAGAAAATGAGAGGTCGGGAGGGACTTGGCAAGTAATAATAATTTTACAATGAATAAAGGTCTTTTTTTTCCTGGTAAAAGATTTATTTCTTCCTTCAGTGAGATGTCCGTATCAGTTTGTCTGGACTTGTGCTCCAAATTGGCCTCCCTCAGGACCTTGGCTGAAGGAACAGCCTCCATGGAGCATGTTGCCAGTTATCACAGCCCAGGGAAACAGGGCAGTGAATTGAACCCAGGCTCTCAGAGCCTCCACCTGGAAGTGGCACATTTCACTTCAGCTCAAATGTCACTGGCCAGGATAGACACACTCAACTGTAAGAAAGCAGAGAAGTACAGTCCTACCACACATTGCAGAATAGCTCCACTAGACCACATTTACATACACGTTTTGCCAGCCATAAACTCGTGGAAGGTAAGGACTGTGACTCATTTCTCTTTACCTTTCTCTTGGCAACAGCCTGCGGTAGAAGTGCAGTACGTGTTAGGTGACTGTCTGCCTGACTGTGGAGCTAAGCACGTGACTGGAACAAAATGGGAATCAAAGCCGGAAAACTATGTCTCCTCTTTCTCCTCCCCTTTTGGCACCTCTTTGCTTCTGCTAGGATTCTGACTGTGAAATTGATTGCCTGAATGATCCTGGACCATCATTTAGCTACTCAAAGTCTCAGTTTCTGTAGTCGGAAAGTGGAGACATTATTACTCCCATGTAAAGAGAGAGTAAGATGGCATCTCTAAAAGCCAGGTTGATTAAGTCTGTGGCTCTGGCTGTTGCCCAGTGCCCGCTCTGGGGACCTTGAGTGCCCATCGCCATATGCTGAGCTACCCTACTGAGGCCTGCTGTTCTTAGGCAAGGTCATATGTGAATAACAGTCTTTGTGAGAATCTATCTTAAAGGTTCAGACATTGATATTGTCTCTCTCTCCGTCTCTCTCTCTCTCTCTCTCTCTCTCTTTCTGTGTGTGTGTGTGTGTGTGTGTGTAATTTAAACTCAGTAATATAAGATGTGGTCATGGGGGTCAGTGTGGGTCTCTGGGATATAACTACTTTTACATCATAATCCCAAGGAGCTGTTGGTTAAATTGTGGTCAGAGATTACAAGAATACTGGGTTTTATTTTTTTGTTAAGTCAGATTTATTTAGGTATAATTCACAAGCAGTACAATTCACTCTTTTTAGTGTGCAGTTCTATGAGTTTGACAAATGCATGCAGTCATGTAACCACCAACTCACAATCAAAATGGAGAATATTTCCAGCCCCCTTAAAAGTACTTGTGCCATTTTTGGACAGCCCCATTTCCCACCCATATCCCTGGTATCCATGGACCAATTTTTTTGTTTTTTGTTTTGCTTTTTATGGAATGTCAGTAAAGCTTCTCTGACCTTTGAACTCAGATCAGGTGGTAATCTCTTTTGGCATCTATAGTCCTTATTTCAATTCTATGTATACTGCGTATGCAGTTAATTAAAAATTGTTTAATGTTCATCTCTTCTGCTACACTTCTGCAAGCATGCCTGAAGGAAGGAATTGTCTGGCCAATGCGTTACTGTATCCTCAGCAGTACCATCAGGTAGATGCTCAACAAATGTTTAGTGAATAAATGAGGGACTCAGTGACTATAAGTAGAGTGCTCTAGGTCACCACTGACTCAGCAAAAGCAATTTAGTATTCAGTGGTGTCAAATATCATATTGTAAAGCGCACAGAGACCTTATCATTCAAACATTCCTGAAGTATATGCATAAATTTTTAGAGTTACATTGGATTTGAATACCAGCAAGAAGCATCCTAGGCAATTACAGATGCATGATCGATATAGTCAATTATTTAAAAATAAGATGGAAACATTTTAATAACACTGTCTTTTGCCATTATTTTATACAACATATTTTAAACTGTTTATTTCATAATTTTTACACTCCATATATTTTGTAACAGATCTGACATGAGAGTGATACTTAAGAGAAAGATCCATGAAGCCTTCAAAATCTAGCTTATCTTTTGTGTGCTCATCAAGTTCAGAAAAGATGTCTCTGTATTTTGGCTTGGTTTCTTGTCCCTATAAGAATGGAGAAAAATCAAATTTCTTTGTATAGGCTTTAGGTTTGCAGATCATAAACAATAATTAGATGAGATAACACATAATTTCAAACACCTCCCATAAGGCCCCACCTCCAATACTGGAGATCAAATTTCAACATGAAGTCTGGAGGGGACAAACATCCAAATTATAGTAAATAATAAACATGTTATTAACAATAATAATATATCACGTTGCCACCAGTCAAATATCATGTTAAATCTTTTTATGTGTTATCTCATCTAATTATCATAGTGACCTTATTGAATATATACTACTGTTATCCTCATCCTGCAGATGCAGTATCAGAGACAGGTGATAATAAAGAAACTTGCCCCAAGCTGGGAAGCTTCTGGTGTGGAGCCGGGGTTTGTAGCCTCTCTACCTCTTGAAAGCCCATACTCTTAACTGCAAAGCTATCCTGCCTTTCTTTGAACAAACATATTATTTTTTAAATTTTTGAAATCTTTGTGTTAGGGAAAGTATCCACTATGGGTTCATCATCTGAGACTTAAGATTATTCAAAAATACAGAATAAAATATGGTAAAAGAAAATATGCACTTTGGAAGATGATTCAGCATTTAGTTTGATTATAAATAAAATGTATGTTCATAGTCTTCATAAATAGTCAGATTGAAGGAAAACATCTTAATAGTATATAAATGAAGAGACTTTATAGTTTCAAATCACAGCTTGTGAACTATCTTCCCCAGTGACATTAACAATATTGAAGTCATTTGATTCACCATTATACTGAATCATATTTACATTTAGTTCTACCGCAAATGCTCACCCATGTGCTGGGTGTACAAAACCATCACAGCAATGACTAAGGCACTTTGGGAATGATGCTGCATTCCTCTTATAGACTTAGACCCATTCTAGTTTCTCAGTGCTGTTTCTCCTCAAGAGAGTACTCTATCCATAAGGGCCAAGAGGAGCTCTCTCCCCCTCCAAGAGAGCTGAATGTCACTTTGAAAGGGTCAAAATCCAAGACACAGTTAGATAAGACCACTTTACTAGCAGAATGGCACATTGTTTTCTTAGAGGTATGAGATAGATATTGGTCTTGTTTATTTTTTTTTCTGCATATTGTAAAAGCACACCATTTTCTGAGGTCCAGTCCTCCAAGGGCATGACCTGTCATCTTTTTGTATCTTCCCAGTAGCACCTTTCAGTGCTTTGTTTTACTTTATCTGAATGGCTATAAGGTTCTAAGATCCCCAAAACCATCTTAGCCTTAGAACTTAGGCCTTTGTCAAAAGAACCAGCTCAGTTTATCAGGGGACACCACATGGGTATTGAGAGAAAAGCCCAGTTAGGAATGAAATTGGCTCCATAGCTTTGCCATTAACTCACGTGCATGCACCTGTCCTAGGGGGGTCTCACGAAGTGGGGTGATTGGGCCAAGGCAGCATTCTGACAGACATTGTAGAGAATGCCCTGGGATGAACTGTCCCCTCAAGTCCCTGAAATACAGCTCTGCTTTCCTCTTGAGCAGATAGCAGGATTACACTGAGGCCTGGGTGTGCCTGCTGCTAGAGAGATCCAGGAATTGACTGTACTTCTAGGGTTTAGCCTACACTGAGAGCTACGAGGCTGAAGATGTCTTCCCTAATCATTGGTTTTTCATTCTTTTTCCCCTGCTGTTCTGAGAGGGGTGATGAATTACATGAAGATGGTGCATCCACTAGTTCTTCATTTTCATATCTGTTGAAAGCTCGCTGAGGATTTGCCAGGCTACCAGGTAATGGGCCTCTATCTGGCATATGGGCCCCATTTCTTTTGGCCTTGGATGAAGGCAAATGGTATAGCATTTATTTATCTGTCCTTTCTTTAAAGACTCACCAAAAGTTGTTATCTCTTGGTAAATTCTGTCTGATATTTCTGCCAGAAAAAGTAGCTTTTCTAAAAAAAAATTTCAGAAAAATACATGTTTAATATAGAACATTTAGAAAAAGTAAATTTAAAAAGAAGACTGTGACTGTAAGCTTTTACCTCCCTACTCAAAATAGCTAACCCTAATTAACATTTCTTTTCATTCATTTATCTGTGTATCATACTATATTCTTTCCCTTTTGAAATAATCACCCACTCACAGGAAGCTGTACCCTTGACCCAGCTCCTCCCAGTTATACATCTTGTATAACTGTAGTGCACTAAAACCATTTATAGGTGTGTATGTATGTATATGTGTGCATAAATAGAATATTATCTTTTCAATATTTGAGAACAGACATAGGCACTTAGAGACTACCTCTATGTGCTTTCTTGCTCTACCTATCAATAAATATTGATAGTTTAGGCTGGTATGAGGCCCTCTTTTCCTCTTACACATTTTCCCTAGGCTGGGATTTTCCAAAGTATGAACATATACTCATGATAGAATGTATGCCATTTTAGGTGATGTAAGAACAAATATTAAGAAGTGATAGTCATTGATTTCTTTTTTCATTATTATCTTTTACTCTCACCCACTGAATTTACATTAAGAATAATGATAAAGTGTCCTTATAAAAATTTACTTAAGTGGAGAGAAAACATGAAGGAAAATTCAAAGCAAATGATAACACAGGCTATAGGCAGATGCGGGGAAAATAGTGAATACGGTATTCAATGACTGAAGTTTGAGGAATACACCCTTAAGTGAGTCAGGTTACTCCCTTAAAGCTAGTGACTGATTATATAGTGCTGACTATTATTTCTATATTTTGAACAGAGATCTCTATTCTAACCTTTGAACTCATCTATCCTGTTGTTGTCTGTTTCTCCTCTTAAATATTTCATGGACATCTTAACATTGACACATCCTAATGGAACTCATCATCTCCTCCCTACCCACATCCCACCTCAAATCTGCTTATTCTTTAGTCATTTTCTTCTGTAGGAATGGGAACACCACCATTCCTTTCATAAGTCACAAATTGGGTTGTCATCATTTGCTTTTCTGTCCTTAAACGCTCACAGTCAACTGTCGGATCTTGTTCATTCCATCTCCTAAACGTCTCTTCTATTTGTCTGCTTCTCTCCATCTTCACCGCCGTAGTCTAAGCCATCACTATCTTTCTCTTGGATTACTTCCCCACAGTTAGTTACTCCGTTTTTTCCTATTCTACCCCCAACCCCAGTCTGTTCTCTGTACTACAGCTGGTGTGATTTCTTAGACCTGGACTTAGAAACTATTCCTGGCTTCCTCTTGCCCTTGGACTATGCTTCTGTAAGATTTGGCTTCTCCTCACCTCCCCAGCCTCACCTCTAACCACTTCCCACTTACCTTCCCATCTTTTCTCACCATCGGCCCTCCAGATCTCTGCTTGGAATGCCATCATTCTCACTTCCCCTTGCCTAGGTACCTCACTCTTCAGATCTCAGCTTTACCTTGGTTTTCCAGGAGCCGGTCTTTGACTACCTACCTCAGTATAGTTCCTCATTTTACTCTCACTGAATGTTCTACTCTTTCACATCATTTGACTATTTCTAATTACTTTTTTAGCATGTTTCTTTCCCCTGCTGGATTGCTGTCTTCTTCACTGCATTATCTCCAGTATAGCTCACTGACTGGCATAAGGCAAGTGTTCAATAAACATTCGTTGCCTAAGACAGCATGACAGGGGCCTGGAGCTGGAGTTATTTGCTTGTTGGGTCAGCCGTGAGGATTCCTCTTTCTTTACAGAAGTTAATTCTCTCACCTCTGTGAAATTCCTAAATTGGGTTTGCAGCAAATTTTTGGCAGCAGCTTTTTCAAGTTTACCATCAGAGTCAGAAGAGTTTCTGAAAATCAGAGTAGTGGTGGCAATGGCTTTTTCCAGATCTGAGCACTTCCTCAGAGCTAGGAGAGAAGAAATGTACAACAAAGTATCCTGAGTTAGAAGTAACCCTTCCCCAGACCTGCTGTTGTGTCTTTCAAGGGAACTGTAGGGAACCTTCCAAATATTGGCCCTTTGCCTCCTATCTGGGAGCAGGATGTGGGAGTTTCTGATCCTGTATCTTTAAGCAATGGAGGATGTGGGAGTTTCTGATCCTCCATCTTTAAACAGTGGAGAACAAAAGTTCCCTTAATAGCAATTAGAATTAGTAGAGTTAGAAATGAAGCGGCCGGGCGCGGTGGCTCAAGCCTGTAATCCCAGCACTTTGGGAGGCCGAGGCGGGTGGATCACGAGGTCAAGAGATCGAGGCCATCCTGGTCAACATGGTGAAACCCCGTCTCTACTAAAAATACAAAAAATTAGCTGGGCATGGTGGTGCGTGCCTGTAATCCCAGCTACTCAGGAGGCTGAGGCAGGAGAATTGCCTGAACCCAGGAGGTGGAGGTTGCGGTGAGTTGAGATCGCGCCATTGCACTCCAGCCTGGGTAACATGAGTGAAACTCCGTCTCAAAAAAAAAAAAAAAAAAAAGAAATGAGATTTACCACCTGGTTGCCATGTGACCTTAAAAGAGTCCCTCACCTCTCTATGCTTTGGTTTTCTGATCTGTGATTTCACCCAGTTATTCAACAAATATTGATAGAGCACCTACTATGGATGAGGCTCAGTCCCTGGTATTAGGGATACCTCACTGAATAGAATGAAATTCTGCTCTTGTGGAATTTATATTCTGTGTCAGACACAGCATCACTTCATGTCAGTATGATAAAGGAGAATGAATTGCAAAGCAAGCTCTTTGATATAATGATGGTTAAGGGTTCTCTTTGACTTGTGGCCTAAAACAGAGTGATCTCCCAGCTGATTTCTCTCAGGTAAGCTAGTTGATAGGGCAATGCTAATTTATTCCTTTGTAGCGTGTTGCAGTGAACACAGGGAAATGTACAAGGTACCATGAAGAATATTTGTATGCTCTGTGTTCTTTTATTCACTAGTATGTCCCCTAGTGTAGAACTTACAACACTTTACAGGTATTACATGTTCATCTGTCCTTTCCTTAACTAGAAAGCAGTCTCCATGGGCCAGGGATCAGACCCTTTTTCTTATTCCCAGTGTCCAGCACAAATGTCTGCTACATTGTAGGTGCTAATAAATGCTGTTGAATGAGTGAATAAGAAGAAAATAAAAACAAAATCTCCCAGTTTTCAGCCCAGGAAATGTGCAATAATTACAGGTTCAAAGAATGAGGTTCAGTCAGAATAATATGATTTTAGTATTGAACGCTTACTACGTGCCTGGTATTTCCCTAAGGTACTCAGCACACAGAGGGGACAAAACCATATGTGGCCAGGCACAGTGTCTCATGCTGTGATCCCAGCACTTTGGGAGGCTGAGATGGGACTATCACTTGAGGCCAGGAGTTTGAGACTAGCGTGGTCAACATAGCAAGACCCTTGTCTCTATTTTTTTTTAAATTAAAAAAACCCAGATGTGGTCTCTGCTCTCATAGATCTTATAATCTAGTGAAGAAATCAATAATAATCAAGAGTATTGTATATGTATACTCATTTACTTATTTTTTATGTTGTTTGTCCCCATAGTCCTGGGGTGTAGAGCAGCAAGCGACATCAGCTTTGTTTACAACTTGTGATGTATGAGGCAAGGAAGGTATAGAGACAGGAAAATAATTACAGAGTAGGTCTGGAAAGAAAACTACTTAGACAGGTGGTCTGGAAGGCCTCCATGAGTAGACTAATATTTAAGCTAAGAATTATAGGATGAGGAGGAGCCAGCCATGAAAAGGGTGAGGATCAGGATAAGATTAGGAATTTGCTGAACATTCCAGGCTCGGGAAGCCAGATATGTGAAGGCTCAGGTCAGAAGAAAACTGTCATATTTGGCAGATTTCTGAAGGAAGATAGCTGCGACTAGGGTCTAGGGGCTGGGTGGGTGTGTGTAGGGTGTGTAGGCAAAAGCTAGATCATGCAGGACTTCCAGGCCACATATAAAGGAATCAGGATTTTCTTCAAAGTGGAAAGAGAAGACATTAAAGCATTTTAAGCATCTAATTTTTCAGTTAAAGGTGAGGAGGAGGGACAAGAGTTAAGACAAATGGGTGAAAGGAGGGAGTGTGTGGGTCTTCTCAGTTTTTATTGTATCTCTGAGCAGTGCCCAGGTTATATATTTGGTTAAAAAAAGGTAACATTGCTAAGAAGTGGCAATGAAAGTATTTGGAATCTTTGACTTCAAAGTCTGTAGAAAGATCAGCCACTGAGGAGTATCTTCTTACAAAGTCACCCCATGCTGATTGTGGAATCCAGACATTTTTCATCCTTCTGATGAAGTTCAGGTCTGACTGCACTCTGAATGGGAACTCCATCTGGTCTAGCCAACTTCCCATTCTTTCCTCCATTTCTTTTAAAAACCAGCATGCCTTTCCCCTGACTATAAAATAGCATATGCCCATGGTAAAAACAGAGATAGAAAATATTAAAAATAAAAGATAACAAGGAACTCTGGTTATTCTAATAACACTGATGATATTTTGTGAGGCTTTTTAGTTTCCTGTTTTTATGGTTGGATTCTTCCCTTAATAAACTGAGCATGTTGCCACTTAATTCTTTCACTGTCTGCCTTGCAGAGTTGGGAACTGGTATGTAAAAGCATATTGTAAAGGGCTAAGTGCAACTGAAAACACAAGAGACTGCTGTTTCTCTTTTGGCATCTTTTACTGGTTCTCTTGCCTCCGGAAGGGGGTTTCAGGGAAGGGCATTAAGCCAGGCTGGTTTCTGCTGCCCTCTTTGTTATTCCCTAGCTCACTGTCTGTGCTTCAATAATACTGAACTGTGTGTAGTCCCTACATACTCTATCCATTCAACAAGCATTTATTGGCAAGTATTTGTTACCAGGCTCTGTGATAGTTCTGGGGTGTAGAGCAGCAAGCAACATCAAAAGAGCAAACCCTGACTTTTTGGAGCTTGTGTTCTGGTGGGCAATAATATACAACTCACACTCTATGTGCCAGCCACTCCTCCATGGGATGAATGCACATGATTCCACTCACTACATTCAGATGTTAGTCGGACGAGGTAGGTCTTAGTATCAACCCCACTCTATCGATGAAACAGAGATACTGAGAGGCTAAGTATAACGGCTTGCTCAAAGTCACACAACCCCTCTGGTTTCACTCCAAGATGCACATTGCCTCTAGGTGCTGTTTTTTCAGGAAGCGTATTTTGCAGGACTCTTTCCCAAACCCCCAGATGGTGCTACATGTCCTTCCTTTGTGCTTCTATAATTCTTAAACCTGACCTTTCATAATCTTCACACTGAAACACTCTGTCTAAACTATCTTCTACATCAGTGCTTCCCTCCCTACCAAAAATAATTTGAGCCACAATCATAATTTTAAAATTTCTGATACATAGCCACATTAAAGAAATAAAAAGAAACAGATACAAGTTAATTTTAATAATCCATTTGATTGAAGCCAATATAGTAAAATATTTTCATTTCAACATGTCATCAATATAAATAAATTATTGAGATAGTTTATATTTTTCCCTACTAAGTCTCTTAAGTCTTACACATCTCAATTAAAATTAACCAAATTTCAAGTGCTCAGTATCTACATGTGGCTGGTGGCTACTATACTGTACACCACGTTGGAGTTTATCTTCTTTGTGGACAATTACTGCATCCAGTTACTGCCTCTTGTTTATCTTTGCATTCATTCCCAGGCCCTGGCGTCTTGTCGGCCTCAGTATACATGCGTTAAATAGCGCTGATTTGAACTTCAGAACAATTTTCTGCCTCTTTTTCTTACCTGCTCTGGAATGTGGAACACTAAATCTCCTAATTCCTTCACTATCAGTTCAAATTGAATGGTGTCATAGAAATACCAGTCTCAATACAGCAAGATGTAAGAATCACCTCATTTTACAACTTGTCCCGATATCAGCTGTTTTCGTGAGTGATGTGAAGACCTACAGGAGAGGGGTTGTTTGCTCAAGCTCACATAGGTAATATATGTCAGAACTGAAAACTAGGTCCCTGCTGTCTATGCTTTATGCCAGTAATTTTCCCAGTACTTCTCAAATTTTCCCACTGGAAAAATACCCTGGGTGTTAGAGGCAAATATGTAATCACCCTGCATTCCTAAGTCTCATGAGATCAGGGGCATAGGCCCAAATAGCCAGCGAGAAAATGTAGGTTTGTATTGACTTCTATAGCATGACCTATCCATGTCTGATTTCGATGAATAACATTTAGAATTCCTTCCCACTAAATAAAATACATTCTGGGGAGATGAGTCATATTTATCCTGTGATTTTTTTTAAGGCATAGGAATAAATGTGGTTCAGTGGTCCGATGTAAGGAGTCTGGTGCTAGGAATGGTGTGTACGTGGGCAGGGGTGGGTGTGCAGTGGGGTTGACAGAGTTACCATCTCAAGCTCCCAGAAGGAGAAGTTATGTTAGATGGGACAAGTCTCAAAAGTGCCTGAAATTGTGTAAATTGTTGAAACATAAATCACAGGTCTTCTTTGTTGTAATAATATAAAAATAGTTCCATAAAGATGGAGATTTAGTTAAATAAAAGTACAGAGTCTCTTTTGGAGAGTTTGGCTAGCCATCTAGGAGGAAAAAATCTACAATGTAGTAATAGTAATGTCCAGCTGTACTTGTTATTCTGTAAACATGTGAAGTCTTACATTTTTTAACAAAATAATGATCCAAGTATATGAGCATTTTTTTCTTATGTTGTTATTTCCATGGCAATGTTGCTAGTCCTAAAGTTATTTTAGCTATGCAATTGAATTCCAAGGGCAAATATTTACACTTTGAGAGGTGGCCACTCTGTTTCCACTCAGTCAACAGAGGCAATTGGGGATTGATTGCATCCTGAGTTGCAATGAACATTCATGAGTCAGATACTCCTGGTCCTACTCTAGACATTCTGAGGATGCTGCCCGTGGAGACACAACTGGATATGGTGGGAAGAACACTGAATTAGGAGTCAGGGGATCCATGGTCTCATCTCAGCTCGGTCTTTAATGAGCTGTATAAGTATAGGCAAGCTAATTCTTACTCCTGGACCTCAGTTCCCACATCTTTAAAAAGAACATCATGCATGTTTGATGATTTATTCAAAAGTTCCCTTGTATCTCTGGCATTCTTTGATGTCCCATTATTTTTTTTAATACTTGGCATGCCATCTTGGTAGAGGAGAAAAATATGCATCTCAGTCTTCTGTGCCTTACCTTTTATTGAAGCCAGTTGTTTGGATATTGAAATGCTGCCAACAAAATGAAAGAAACATAATGATTCTGGGAGTTGGGGTATTGATATGAGAATGTAAAGCAGAGGAATACAATGATTTAAAATTATTTCTTTTGGTAAATATTCTCTGACCATTTTAGTGGAGCAGCCATCTGTTTTCCAAAATCTTTTCTTCCCTTGCCACCTAGTAAAGAAATGCCTGCACATGGCTGGCCAGCTAGCCTACATATTTCAGTCTTCCTTATAGTTATGCAGCCACGTGGCTAAGTTCCTACAGTTGAAAAGGAGGAGAAGAGAAGTGAACACCTCCCACATAAGCTCCTCCATTCTCTTTCCCGTTCGAGCTGACTAAGGTGGAAATTATCAGGAAGACTTTAGAAGCTACATGCTGATCAGCCTGTGTCTCACGTGACTGCATAGTGTAAAACTGCCACAGACCCGGAACCCCCACTCTGGAGCATCACATGACAAAGAAAAAAGAACTTTGTGTTCTGTAAAATGCTCAGAATTTGAAATCTTTTTTATTCCAGCAACTTAGCCTTCCTGACTAAGAGCCTGGGCATTATGCTGAGGTGTGGGATGCATGAGTGATAGAGACATTCCTACCCTCTTGGGGCTTAGTCTAGAAAAGAAGACAGTTACTAGGCAGGTAACTTGATAAAAAGTGATGGCAGAGCACATAGAGAGGCAAAGAGGCACTAACCTAGTCTACAGTCAGGGTAATGGCATTCTACCTGAGCATAATACATCAGGAAGAGTCTTCCATGCAGAGGGAGCTTATGTGCTGAGGCCTGATGTGGCAGACATCACGGTATGATTGAAGAACCAGAGGAGGTATAGTGTGCGTGGAACCTAGAGAAAGAAGGAGATAGTGTTCAAGGGCCAGGCAGGGCCAAGGCATGTGGAATCTTGGAGGCTTTATTAAGGACACCAGTTATTATCCTAAGGGCAAGGGGAATCATGTGATCAGATTTGCATTTTAGGAAATTATTTCATGACTATATCAGAAGTAGATTGAAAAGGGGCCAGATTGGAGGCAGGAAGTTGTGTCTTGCTCCCTTATTAACAGGAAATCAAAGTTTGCTTGATTTTTCAACCCCTAATGGCTGGAGTGTTTTTTTGAGAAAGCCAGTAAGAATAACAGAATTTGGTAATATCTTAGACAATTCCTTAAAAGGAACTTTCAGGTTCAGGATCTGGTTTTGGCATTAACTATTTGAGGGATCATTGTCTTTGGGAGTCCTCAGTTTTTTCACTTGTAACATTACAAAGCTGGACTCTGTGTTACCTTGAACCCTTTATGATCTTCTCGGTGAGCACCTCCTGCTCTTCTGCAACCTCTGCACCATTATTATTTCCTTTATAAAATGAAGGATGTTTCATTTTGCACAATGTGCACTTGTAACATGACATAAATTTCTTTCTATTGCCATAATTGAGAAACAAGAGCTATGCAGTTCATCTCCATGTCTCCTTCCCCTTGCCTTGCAGAGCATCTAGCACTTGCTGGGTGTCCACAGAAGGTTTTTGGAACTAAAGCCAGTCTCCTAAATGAAATTATATGAGAAAGAACATTTTTCATTTATTAAACCTGACTACACATTTGAATTATATAAAACAATTTCTCTCTGTCGTGGATAATTTGAGAGAATATGCTACACAGTTAAAGTCATTACAGATTTTGATTTACAAATGTTTCTCAAGAGGCAATAAAAGATATTTGTGTTAATTGCATCATCTTTTCAGTTTGCAGTCAAGGTTGCAAGTTTGTTGTCTTTGTTTTTCCAAGTGAATTTAAAGCTGGATTGGGGTAGGTAATAGGCATCAAACTGCCAATAACTTGGCTATAAAGCTGTTGACATAAACTCTTTGGAAATATATCTGCAAACTTAAGTGAAAGTAAAAGACAGCCAAGTGCCACTGACCTTTTGGGCATTTTCCTGGGTGCTAAGGTGGAGGTTGGGGCTGCAGAAGGATTGGGCTCCCCTTCCAAGTAGAGAGATTTGTCCTGGGTACTGTGTATACAGTATTGAAGACTGTATTGTCTTCTGTTTTGTGTCAGTCCTTCCTAAGCAACAGTCACTTGCCCACTGTTACTATTGTCATTCACTCCATGACAATGATACAGTTGCATGTATAGAAGAAATTTTCCACAATGCATTGTATGTAGACATCAAATCATTCAATAAATATTTTCATGCCTATGTGAGCCAGGCACTGTACAAAGTGCTCAGGAAATAACAGTGAGCAAAATCAGACGTAGAGCCTGGTCTCAAGAAGTTTAGTGGGAATGGCGGATATTAATCAAGTAATTGCATAAAAAGTTATACCTGTGAACAATACTATTCAAGGCAGATGCCATGAGATTGACATCAGTCAGGCATCCCTGGGGAAGTGATGCTTGGTGATGAGTAGGCGTTAACTAGGTGCAAGGATGAATATTGTAGGCAGAAGGAATGAGTGGGAGGGAATATGGTGATCAGAAAGGACTGAAAGAAGGCCAGTGTGACTGAACCGAAGAGATCAGATCGAGGGGGCGTGTGTCTCAAGCTGAGGCTGAAGAGCAGACTTGGTGGCCAGGCCATGCAGGAACTTGTAGGTCACCGTAGGGGTTCTTTCTGTATGTCAAAAAAATAGGAAATCATTTGTGTATTTTAAGCAAGGAGGTTAATGAAGTTGAATTTACATTTTTGCGAGAGGACTCCAGCTTCAATGTGAATAAGGGTTTAGGGAGGTGGACAGAGTAAATGCATGAAGGCCGATAGGTACACTATTTCACTTGTGGTAGCTTAGGGCACTTTCTGTAAAAATGAGAGGATGTATCAGCTCAGGCGAATGAGTTTGGTTCAGGGAAGACATGTTAAACAATTGCATGAGTCACTGGTGAGCTGATGGGTGAGAGGAGCTAGAATTCTCAAGAGAAGCTAAGAAAAATCACTATTCAGGATACAATAGGCTCTAAGGGCTCTGCTACCTTATTGCTGCTTCACTGGTCACTGCTCCACCATCAGATGACCATGTGTGTCACTTTCTCATTGCCTGCTTCTCTTTATGGGTTTTCTTTTTTCTCCTCCCTCTACCTCTTCACTAATTTCCTCAGCATTTTAAATTCAAATTTGGGGTGCAGGAGAGAGTTTGATTGGCCTTACTAATTGATGTTGCCCATACTGGTCAGAGTTTGAGTGCCAGTTCCCCCTGTGGGTTGTCAGTTACCCCATGCAGTTATCTCCTGTGGGTCACATGATGATCCTGAGCCAATGTCACTGCTCAAGTTAAACCCTTAGAGATGTCTTCCTCAGAAGGGAAGTCTGAGTAGGTTTCCCAAAATCTGGATTTTCAACAAACACTTTAAGTGATACTTATGTTGACTACATTGCGGAGTTGTTGGCAGTGGTTAAAAACAGGCTTTGGAGTGGAAAGAGCTGGGGTTTAATTTTGACTCTGACACTCCCTAGTTGTGTTACTTGGAATAAGATCCTTAAAACTGCAATGTTGGCTTTCTCATCTGTAAAAAACTTTGCTCATGGAATTTCTTTCAAGGCTGGATGAGTTTGTGTTTTGGGGCACTCAGGACAGTGAGGAGAAATCAATAGCTGTCATAGAGAAGATTATGTTCAATATGATGATATCAGAGACATTCACAGATGGATATGCAGTGAGCAAGGTCAGGAAACTATGCAGAGGTGCTGCAGCATCCAGAGATTAGCAACAGTGGGAAGCTGTTACCACCCTTAGTTCTAAGGGGCAAGGAGAGCAAATATTACAGAGTTGAGTGAGAGCTGAATTCTTGGAGCAGATTCACTTGACAGCAGCTGTGAATAAAGGGAGGCAGCTACTCTTAGAAATGCAAGCAAAGCAGGGAGGAAGGACAAAGAAATACCCTATGCTTTGGTCTCCAGCCTATGCCTCCAGTTGACTAAGCCAATCAGGAAAATGGCACTAAGGGAGCCTGGGAGGTGGGGTCTATAGGAATCAGCCTCTGGGGGCCTAGACAAGGGCAGAGAATGGAATGGGAGGAAGTGTTGAACAAATGGGCAAGAAACAGCATGGTGATGATAATGATGATGATAAAGATGATAGAAGCAAACTGTGGGGAATCTGAGATTTATTGATTATCTTCCTCCTGTCAGGATTAAATTAAAGATGGCATTCTCAGGAAGATATAGCAGTTTTTGCAGACATTTCAAGTGAAAATGCACCTTTTTTCCCCTGCATCAAAATCTCATCTCATGAAACATTCAGGCTGTTTACATACAGTATCAAACTATGGGGGCAAAGCATTATTTTAAAAATCCCTCAGTCAACCTGGCCCTTTGGCAGTGTGAGACCAGGGTTTGAGTGTACTGAGTAGATATCCATTTGGGAAAGGAAATGTGCTGATGGCAGCAGGGGTTTGACAAATGACTCCATGTGTGGATTTATTGACAAGCACACAAGACCACCGACCTGAAGGTTGCAACAGTGGGGCTCTTGTCTGTGGGCTCGGCAGGCTGCAGACAGCAGCAGATTAGCACAGTATTAATGGTGCTTGAAATTTGGTAAACTATTGGAGTGAGAAAAAAAAATGCCATCACAGAGAGAAGCGTTTTTTACCAGGTTTGCTGTTTATATTTGAGTCCACTAACTTACTTCCTATTCAGTAAAAATCAAATAGCAGGTATTTGGAGTGAGAGCCTAAAAGACTTGCCTTTGATGATTTGGCTTATGCTTTTTTTTTTTTTTTTCTGGGGCTAAATTCTTTATTGAGGGTTCTGGAAACAGTAATTTCATGAATTGTGTTTCTGGGAGTGTCAGAACCACTGGAATGAATGCAAAAATTTTCATGTTATGGGCATTTTCCTGGCTGAAAGGATTGCTAGGTTCTCCAAGTGGCTATAACTTCTGAAGAGTCATTGTTGGAGGCAAATGCCACCAGGTTGGTCATGATGTTGACTTTTTGGAAAGAACTGCCCCCCCGCCCAAGCCTCACTCTAAGAGAAATAGTGTATGGACCCTTAGTTTCATAGTCAGTTAATATGTTTATATTATTGTTATATTTATAGAATATTGTTTAACAATGCATAATTGTTAAAATTTATGCATTGAGTAACTGATATTGTGTGAGATGTTTGATAAATATTTCTTTTTATTCTCAATAACCATTAGAAATAAGAATTGTCATCATTTGCAAATGATGAAAATGAAGTGTAGAGGAGTTAAATTACTTGTCCAAAATCCTCTGGCTAATTAATGGATAAGCCTCAATTCAAACCTAAGGCTGTAGGGTTGCAAACCTGATGCTATTTATATTACATCATTTTACCTCTTACTGCTCTCTTTGATCATGAAAATTAAAGCCACAGCTCTTGTTTCCTAAGCTGACAAATCATAATTCTCTGTTGGTCTCATGAGAACTCATCAGAATTTTTCTAGCTCAAATTAGCCTCTTCTCCCCTAAATATCCTTGAAACATGTTTTACATTTATTTGACATCTCTTATCATTGCTTTATGTTTATACTTAGTTATTATTTACCTTCTCTCCTCACTAGATTGAGAACGTTAATAATAGTAACAATAATAGTAATAAACAGCATTGATTTAAAACCTCCTGTGCGCCGGACATTGTTCACATGTATCCTCTCATTAAATTCTCAGGACGATTTTTTGGTGGGCACTATCATGATTGTTTGTGTTGTACAGATGCCTTATACAGATTAGGAGACCTGGGCTTGCCCAGGAACACATGGCTACTAAGACTTGGAATTCAAGCACAGGTCTCTCTGAGTCCAAGAATCAACCTGTTAATCACTATCTTTTCATCAAGGATCATGGCTTAATCATTTTTGTATCTTCTGCTCAGGGTCTAGCATCATGAAATGTTTAAGTAATTGGACATTTGTTGAGTACAGTGTGACCTAGAACCTAGAGTGTGATAGCCACTGGGGAAGTTGGGCTTGTGTCTGGTGCCGGGACATATTAATATCTAGTGTCCCTGCTCTCTCCCTGCTTTCAAAGGAATCTGACAATGAAATGGAATCCCCAAGGAGAGGGTGTCATGCCCACTAAAGGAAGAGATGCCAAGGGTGAGGGGCGTGTTTTGCTCGTAGTAGACCTTCAAAAAATATTAATTTGAGTATATCATAGCGTATGTATCCATTCTTCTGATGATATTTATTGGGTTTATTTTCAGTGTTGAATCATTATGAATAAAGGTTCTATGGACATCTTTCTACATGTGTTTTTGTGTACCTAATCACTCATTTCTTTTGCATATATATCTAGAAATGGAACTGTTGGATTCTGTTTAATTTTCTCAGAAACAAAGTTTTCCAAAGGAGTGTTCCATTTTACACTTCTGCCAGTAATGCAATAATGTATAAGACTCCAGTTACTCACATCTTCACCAACATTTGGCATTGCCAGCCCTTTTAAACTCTATTCATTCTGGCATTACAGTGTGGTTTTAATTTGCATTTCCTAACAACAAATGAGTACCTTGTCATATGCTTACCGGCTGTGTGGTTATCTTTTTTTGGAACACTACTCAGCAATAAAAAAGAACAAACTACAAGTACATACAACAACATGAATAAACTGTGAAACCATTATCCTGAGTAAAGAAGCCAGGCACAAAAAGGAATATGTTGTATGATCCTATTTTAAATAAAGTTTAGGAAAAATAAAAACTAATTTATAATGGCAAAAGTTAAAATACTGGTTACCTCTGGAAGGAACATCAATTGCAAAGTAGCACAGGAGGACTTTCTGGCATAACGAAAATGTTTTATATTTTGATCTGGGAGGTGGTCACATGGATGTATCCATACGTAAACACAATTTACTTCAGTAATGTTTATTAAAACTTTTCCATGTGAATTCATATAAGAATAAAGTTAAGAAAGCTGGAATCAACCCAGATTGAGGTCACTACCAAATGACACTGTGGTTCCCCAGCCAAGGGGAAAGTGCAGCTCTGCTCACTGCCCACTAGCGATCTGGTCTCGTCTTTGAATCCCACCCTTTTTTCCACAAGGCAAAAGTTAGTCACAGGAACTTGCTTTTCCAACTAAATATGTCCTCAATTCTAT